AGGGATTAATATCGCGTTGCTTCGGCTCATCCAGCCAAGAAACAGGTAATATCAGTTCGGTGATCTGCAAAAGGTAGGAATAGCGTGGTATTTTGGTATAGTGTACGATCGAGCTGTCTGACGCGAGCGTTCTCTTATAGTTACGCTTCGTCTCGACTCACCTGGTAGTTTAATATCCAATGCAGTAATCATTAGCACAACTTGTGACCTCGGTTTCGATGGAATTGAACGATTGGTTAGCCGCAGCCGCGTTTCGAGGCTTGAATAAAATCTGTTGTGATCGTGAGATCACTTCACGTCGTCCTCTCATGTCGATCTTTGTGTATAGCATGGACACGGCGAACTCTAAACCTTACTCAAGATGCCGTCCAGTAGCGAGTGACGAACTAGGAGGTAGCACTACTCAAAATAATTGTGGCAGTTGTTTTTGTTGCTTTAGGAAAGGTGAAGTGATAATTCGTAGTTTGATCTGAATGCACCTACAATGACAATTTCTGAAATTTCAAACGGGATCCAAACAATGAATCTGCAGTGTTTTCCGGAGAGCTCTCATTCGGCTTTCTTAATTTTGCTGCGTTGTTCCGTACCAGGGTCATTGCCAACGTTCGCGACGTCGCTGAGAGTCGGCTGCTTGAAGCGTAATATTATCAGCAAATCAATTTTACTGATACTGATTGATATGCTGTTACTTTGTAAATGCTTAGTATATTTTAGGTTGTGTTGGCTGGTTTTAGAGGCGAGTCCTCGGGCGATGGATGTGACAGTGGCGGTCACTTACGCCTTGAAGGTTTGCCTCGGTTTACGCGGATAATTTTCATCGTCAGTGCTTTGAACGTCCCTGGTCGATACACTACATTGATCACAGAACTTCACGTGGCGACTGATTTTAGTGTGGTGCTTGGTGACGACCGTTTTTATAGACACAAACACAAATACACGTCACCATCGAGAGCGGCTTTTCGTCTGTGCCTGTGTTGTCGGTCGGTAAATAGATTCATTGTTTAATACACGTAGTGGATGGTCAGCGCCGGTGCGTTAGAGGACGAGCAACTGGCGTGCGTTGGTCGACGACCGCGGTGTTCGGCGGGGTCGGAGGCGGAGCTGAAAGGGAAAACAGAGGCAATGCAGCGAGTGTCAGAGCTGCGCCACAGTTTCACTCAGCAGTTGTCATTGATCGAGTCCGGCAAAGACCTGCGGTCGAGCTTCCTGACTAGGTCGAAATACGAAAGCCTCGTCGCAGACCTCAAACGCATACGCCACGAGGGCAAATACCGCCGAATTGACTACAATCGCCAACGCCGGTTCCAACTGGATTACGTCGACGGCAAGGATGTACTGGTGGATCCGCGCAAAGGTCTGATGTACGTTGTCGATGATCAACTGTTCGACGTTTTCCATGACACCCACATGCGGCTCGGCCATGTTGGTCGCTACGCGATGCTCAAGCACCTCCGCAAGCAATACGTGAACATCAACAAAAAAGCTCTCTGCTACTATCTTTCAATGTGTGAGCAATGTCATGGTGGCAGCGGCAACGGCAAACCAAATATGGCCGTAGAAACGATGCTGTCGCCGGCTGTGCCTTCCCCGCCGTCGCTTCCTCCCGCTGACCCGGTGCCCGAGTCCCCGCGTTCGAATCGCTCGTTCAATGGCCGTGGTCCCGGTTCAACAATAGCCACCATGTCTCCATCACGACACCGCGGTTCCGGCGCATCGTTAGCCATCGTCAACGTAGTAGACTTCGTTCGCGTCGGCAGCGACTTTCGCTTCATCGTCATCTATCAGGATAAGACTTCAGGTTTCTGTATGTTGCGACCGGCGAAGGCTGCCGACGAACAAGTTGCTCACGTCCTGCTGGCCATCATGTGTACCGTTGGACCGCCGGCGGTGATTCGTTTTCATTGTAGCACCAAGCTGGACGCCAGGGTATGCTGTGCTGTCGTTGAGTGTAGCCGACGTGCATACATACGTTTCAGTTTTCGTTTTGCAGATAACCCGCACGATACGAAACACTGTGCCTTCGATCCAGGTGAAATGTAGCAAAGCTACCGGTTCACGTCTACCCGTTGGCCAATTGCACTTGATCACCAGCATTCAGGTAGGGCATATTCGATCAGTTGGATTCGTTCGATTAACGTTAACATTGGCGATCGTAATAACGAGACAATTGCAATTACAATTACAATTAAAGAGCAAACTTGACATGTGGCTGCAACGAAACCCGGGCGCCGATTGGACCACCGCTCTGAAATTCGTTCAACTGTTCGTCAACACTAACTTCGGCCGGTCGACCACCAAGCGTCGTTGCGAAGCGATTATGCGAAACATGCTGTCTTCAAAGAGGGCTACTAAAGAATTGCTTTGTCAGTTGTTACCCGAGTCCGAGGTCAAGAAAACGAAACGACGAGGTACCAAGACTAAGCGGCCGAGACCTTCGCAGTCGCCTCATCACAACAAGTTCGATATTAAAGGTAAGTTGTTTGTTTTCATGTTTATTTTCAGCTCGTTTATTGTATTTTTAACCGTAATCAACACAGCGACGATCACTCAACTCGAGTCGATAACTGATGTTGTCATTCCATTAGCAGGTACTCCTTGTTGCATTGCACTGGTACTGAAGCCATCGAAATGTAGTCCTGCTTCTTTCACTGTTTGCTGCCCGCATTTGGGGGGGGGGATAACCCGTCTGAAGAATTTAAGCGAATATGCGTACTGTATCTCAAAAATTTTTGTTATCCATGTTGTCTCTTATCCGGTGTCCAATGAAAATGTTGTTCTGGAAACTGTTTGAAACGGAACGTTTAAGACCACTGTGAGCTCTGTGCTAACCTGTAAGTGCGAAACATGGACCCTATGCCTGAAAGCTATTCAAGAACTGTAGACTTCGTAATTCAGCATGGAAAGATGTCCGTTGTGAATAACAAGAATGGACGAGAACACGATCGAATGGGTGAGAACACAGACGAAGTCTGACGTGTCACTGCCGAAGTGAAGAAGTTAAAGTGTAATAAGTAGGACACATTGTGAGAACAACCGATAATCGCTGGATCAAACAGATTTCATCCTATTTATACGAGAGAGTAAATGGCCCGCAGGAAGACCTTCAAATCGCTGGCAGGCTTGCACAGGCCTTCATCCAGCAATGGACCAATAAAGGCTGCTGACGAATTGACTTTTGAGGTTGAGGCTTACAGATCGACTGATGATGTGAAGGGTTTAAACCGAGGTGATGAGTTAAAAGGTTAAGGAAAGGAGAGGTGAAAAGCGAGATTTAGTGGTTTATTGCGCTGCTCTCTTGGTTCTACTTGCCACGGAGATCATTTAGGCAGGTCCTGGTTGTACATGATTCCATTTGTAGCGTGTTTGAATTACTGTTTTGTTATTGCTATAAACGTTTATGTCCCTTCCAAGACAAAATCTCACGGGTTGCTGCATCGTCCCTATCTAGTTTTCTAAGATCAGATGTGGGGGTGGGAGGTGAGCAACGACGCCTCCATAGTACCTGAACATCATTTTATTCGCTTGAGCAAGCCTTTGCTTATCTCGAGCTTTTTCATGAGTTGGTATTCCATATACGCCATCAGCGTAGATATAAGAATATGTGCAAGCGGACAGGAGTATATTAATTGATGTATAACTCACTTAAGACCAGAAAAGTGTTTCATGTAACAATGCAAAGCAAACGTAGAGAAAGTCGAATGTGCTGAGTTAGGTGAATGGCCATTTTTAGATGAGGGTAGCGGAGTTGTGACCATGAAAGCTGAACCGGCCTTCGATCCTGATTCGAAGTGCGGAGAATCGACG